TTTTTATTCCACATATAAATAAAATAATTTGTTAGCTGTCCTCTGCTGACTTATTTCACTTAACATAGTACCCTCTATGTCATTGGTTCTCAACCTGTGGGTCGTGACCCCTTTGGGGGTCGAACGACCCTTTCACAGGGGTTGCCTAAGACATAACAGTAGCAAAATCACAGTTATGAAGTAGCAACGAAAATAATTTTATGGTTGGGAGTCACCACAACATGAGGAACTGTATTAAAGGGTCACGGCATTAGGAAGGTTGAGAACCACTGATCTATGTCCATCCGTGTTGTTGCAAATGGCAAGATCTGATAATTTTTTTTGCTGAGTCTTATTCCATTGTATATGTGCACCACCTTTTCTTTATCTATTCGTCTATCAACGGACACCTAGGTTGCTTCCATTGGTTGGATGTTACTAGTAATGCTGCAATAAACATGGGAGTGCATATATCTTTTTTTTTTTTTTTTTGGTACATGCCCCTATGGGAACCAAACCCAGGTCGGCAGGCCGACACTCCAACCGCTGAGCCAAACCGGCCAGGGCTTGTACTAGTATTTATATTTTTTCAGATAAATACCTAGACGTGGAATTGCTGGGTCATATGGCAGTTCTATTTTTAATTTTTTGATGAACCTCTGTACTATTTTCCAAGTGGCCGAATCAGTCTGCATTCCCACCAACAGGACGCAAAGGTTCCCTTTTCTCCCCACCCTCACCAACGCATGTTGTTTGTTGAGGTGTTGGTGGTAGCCATTCTGACAGGCGTAAGGTGACATCTCATTGCGGTTTTAATTTGCATTTCTCTGAGGATTGGTGACGTTGAGCATCTTTTCATGTGTCTGTTAGCCATCTGTGTGTCCTCTTTGGAGAAGTGTCGATTCAGGTCTTCTGCTCATTTTCTTAAAAACTGGATTGTTTGTTTTGTTTGTTTGTTTGTTTTGTTTTCTTGGTGTTAAGTTGTGAGTTCTTTATGTATTTTGGATAGTAACCCTTTATCAGATGTATCATTTGCAGGTATCTTCTACCATTCAGTAGGTTGTCTTTTTGAGTCAAAAAGATCTCTTGCGCTTGGGTACACATTTGCCCTTGATGCAACCATGGCCTGCCAACATTATTACATTATTATTAATATTAACTTTACAGAGTGATTTTAGGTGTCATTTGTTGGGTTCCTACTGTAAACTGTAATGGATTGGAAAGTGTCATGCCCCCAAAATACAGGTCCACGCCCTAACCCCTGGTATCCGGGAATGAGACCTGATTTGGAAGAAGTGTCTTTGCAAATGCAATTACGTTAAGGCTCTGGAGATGAGACCATCCTGAATTAAATTGGTGGGCTCTAAATTCTGTAGCAAGTGTCCTTACGGGGAAAGGAGAATCTCAGCGGAGAGAAAAGAAGGGCCTGTGAAGATGGGGGTGGATACTGGCATGAGGCTGTGCAAACTGAGGCACATCAGAGGTTGTCAGCAACAACTAGAAGCTGGACAAGGCGACAAGAATTCTCCCCTAGAGCTTCTGGGGGGAACGTGGCCCTGCTGACACCTGATTCTGGACTCGAGGCCTCCAGGGCACGAGAAAAGAAACACCGGCGATGTTCAAGACACCGAGTGTGCAGGAATCTGTTATGGCAGCCCGAGGAAACAAATTCAGCCACTGTATCCAAAGAGGTGCCCCCCAGGCATGGCCCACCCTGTTTCTCCATGTCATCATGCTTATTTCCTCGGCGACAGGTCAAAGTCCGTAATTACCTCCCGTTTTCTCACTGGTCTCTGTCTGAACATGAGGACAGGGACTTTTTCTGCAGCGGGGTCTGCAGTAGAGCTTGGCCCTTAGGGGCCCACGGGCATCTGTTTCTGAATGAGATGTGATCAGAGAGGGGTACACATCCGAAGAGAACAGGACTCTTGTTCTAAGACTGCAGTTCTGAAAAATTAAATAACAAAGACTAAGGCACATGCAAAAAACCAAAAATAATAATGCTGAACCACGATTCAGCAGGGACTGTTCCAATTCTCCCACGGGGGAGCCTGTTCTTAACCCAGGCTTTTAATTGAATGCGTACATCAAGTCAGCCTGCTGCGCATCTGGGGATCCTGTGTGCGGGCCGCCAGGGCTGAACCAGCTCTGGGAAACCTCATTAATTTCTCAATGAGCAATGATTTCATTTCTCAGCCGTCATCCGGGGGCAGGGCCATGCGGGCTGCAGACCTCAGGACAGGTGTCCACACCCACTGTTCTGCGCCCTTGCCCAAGATTTTTCCTAAGGAAGGAAGGAGGACGGGAGGAAGGAAGAAAGATCACAGGTCTCGTCCCCCCCGGAATCACATTTCTCGGGCGACAGCCCTGGGAAGGAGCTTCATTGTCTCGACTCCCCAAGGTGGGTGGCATTTAGAAGGTTGAAGACAAAGTGAATAATTGTCAAGACTGAATTATTATCTTCATCATCTTTATCACTGGCAGGGTTATGATTTATTTAGTACTTACTCTACGGGGCATGAACGCCTTACATTGTCCTCACACATATTTATTGTCTTTATGATAATCCCTCGAGACACATATGACGACCTTCATTTCACATACCCAAGGCCCCCCGCCAGAGCCTGAATTCAGATGCGGATCATCGGGCTCTGAAGTCCATCTATTTAACCACCTGGAAGCCAACTCGTAAGTTTCCTTGGTCTCCTTTGTGTTTCTTAGAAACTGCCTCCCAACCACCGGCCTCCTAGGAACTCAGCCGGGAAGATGGGCAGACAGACGGCTCAGGGGCTTTATTTCACTTCGTCTTGTTAGGCATTTCCTCTCGCTCTATACTGGCCAGAAACACAGGACCTGCCTAATGTGAGGGTCAGAGTAGCGTAGTCTGCTTCATGCCCAGGAAGGAGAAAACAGATATCGGGGAGCATTAGTGATGTCTATGAAAACACGCAGTTTATCTCAGCATAGTAATGCCCCCCAGCACATAATGCGTGACCTGTGTAACTATTTTTTTTTATTTACTTCTTCTTGATAGAATTGAGTATAATTGGGGTGGAAAATAAAGAAGGCAAAGTTAAGCCCAGCCAGTGTAGCTCAGTGGTTGAGTGTCGACCCATGCACCAAGAGGTCGCCAGTTCAATTCCCGGTCAGGGCACATGCCCAGGTTGTGGGCCCAATCCCCAGTGGAGAGTATGCAGGAGGCGGCCAATCGATGTTCTCTCTCATTGATGTTTCTCTCTCTCTCTCTCTCTCTCTCTCCCCCCCCTTCCTCTTTAACATCAATAAACAAAAAATAAATAAATAAAAAAAGAAGGTAAAGTTAAGAACACCCCAAATATTTAAAGATATATTTTTCCATTTGAGTCCCTGTCACTCTCTCCTTCTATCTTTGTCTTTCTCACCCTCTCATGCACACACATGCACACCACACACCCACACACACACCACATGCGCCACACATACACACCACATACACGCACACCACACACACACATTCACACCACATGCGTGCACACACATGCACACCACACACATGCACATCACATACATGCACACATGCACACACCACACCACATGCATACACCACACAATGCACACACATCACGCACATGCACACCACATACATGCAGACACATGTATACCACACACACCCCACATACATGCAAACACACACACCACATACATGCACACATGCACATGTGCACATACACACACATACACACACCAGAGCTTCCTCAGGGAGCACGGTACATCCTAAGCATACTGGAAAAGGAAAAGAAACTGCCATATTTTTATTGTTGCAGAGCTTCATTGTCTAGCTCTTCATTAATTAGGTCAACAAGTAACTGTTGGATACTCACCGTATCTTAAGAGCTCTGCTAGAAACTCGGGGTACTGTTGTCCAAAGGGAGACAAGACGTGGCTCGTCAAGGAGCTCAGAGGCTCAGCAGGAGAGACAGAGCGACGCCGTCACACTGGGAGACAAGGCCAGAGCGGGCGACTCGGGGCCGTGGGGGCGCAGAGCAGGCCACCGAGGCAGACACAGCTGTAGGGAGACTTCCCGGAAGAAATGCTGCTTCACTGCCCTAAGGGATGAAGGGATTTGTTTTCATGCCTATCTTGTTGCCAAAAAGATTTAGAGAGGTTCGGTGCCTAGCTCGCGGTAAATGACCCAGAGTATTTGGTAAATGAATGAGTGCTGACCACGGATGTGACATTTGTTTCCCTGTCCGCCTTGGCTGCCAGGAAGCTCAGAGCCCAAGTGGTGGCAAAGGTTTAAACCTTGAGATCGAAACCCCAGACTCCCCCCCACCCCCCGGGTGGGTCTTCACCCGTGGAAGTCATTCCTTTCTAACTGCTGATGTCGTGATGCAAGTTCTGATCTGCCTGGCCATGAACACACCTCTCTTCCCACCACTCATACCATCCTCACGGCGTCCCCCAGGGGACTGCACCTCACTGGGCACACTCCCAGGGGGCCCGGGACCCTGCCCCCCTGCCCTTCCTTCTGCACGGCTGTCCCTCGCCTCTCTCAGCTCTCTGCCGGACTGTCATTCCTCGGGGTGACCGCAGCCCTAACCCCTCAGCCTTACTCCCGCCCCGTGCACTGTTACCCTCTCTCAACATTGTTGCTTTTTATTTGTTTACCACTGGGCTCCACTCACTCCCTATCAGCCCACAAGGGAGGAAGTCTTGGTGTGTTTTTACTGCATCGGCCGTGCCATGTGCCTGGCACAGAGGATGCCCTCAGTGTGAAGGATAATGACGCCTGCCTCACAGGGGTATGAGGCTTAAACGTGATGCTTATACCACACACCACCTTGCACAGAGGAGCCCCCATCACATCATCGCTATTGTTGTTATTTAGTGTTATTATTATAAGTAGCAGCAGGAGGGGCAGCGTTAATTCCCCTCCCCCCGAGCGTTTGGGTGCCGGCCCACAGGAGAGCCAGGAAACGTCTGTTGATTGACTGAGGATGTTCATAACCCTTGTCTGTCCCTGTCCTCCTTTCTCTCCTCAGCCATGCACGGGACCTTTGTGATTCTGCTTCCGCTCAGCCTGATCCTGATGGTATTTGGGGGGATGACAGGGTTTCTGAGCTTCCTCCTCCGAGCCTCCGTCCTCCTCCTGCTCACGGGGACCCTCTTCTTCTTTGGAGGTGGGTGCCCACCCTATGCGGGGCGCAGGCTCCAGGTAGGGCTGTGCATGAACCCTCCGCAGGGAGGGTCAGGGCTGTATCCCCATCTTCGATATCTCAGCCGGCAGGGACGAGCGTTTCCAGCCCAGGGCCCCTGGGTCAGTGTCCGAGAGAAGTGGAGGGTGGGAGCAGAGTCTGAGAATTGCTTCGGGGATCTCACCAAAGAAGCCACCCCGAGCAGCCTGCCGTGGGCCGTGGGCCGTGGGCTGTGGGCCGGGGGCCGTGGGCTGGCAGGAGCCCACCCCTGGCTTCCTCACTCTCACATGCACCTGCCGCTCGGACAGAATCACTTCGGCTGATGAGAGAAAGGGCAACACCGTTGTTTCCGCAGGCCAGAGGCTGGCAAAGACGGCTGCAGCCCGTCTGGTTGTGCTTAGGCCTCCCTACTTCCTGTGGCTTGAAATGGTCCCTCCTTAAAAAAAGAACCCAAACAGTGTTGACCTACACGCTTGGAATCCATGGAGGGAAGAAAGAAAAGGAACGGCGGAAGTGAAAATACTGCGAGACCTCCACCCACCCACTCTGATGATCAAGGCAGGCACTAATGGTCACCCTATGACCGAGTCTTGAACCAGCACTGCCCAGTTGAGCTCTCTGTGCTGGTGAGGTCCTCGAAGCGGCGCTGTGCGGCGGGGGCGCCACAAGCCAGGCTTCGGGGCATCTGACCCACGGCGGTGCCAGTCCAGGGCTGAGCTGTCCACTCCAGTAGCTTTGATAGGCACGCCTGGCCAGTGACTGGGGACTGGGCAGCACAGCTCTAACCACATATCTCTGAAGACCCTTCTTGTGCCCAGTGGTGCTCTGGGTGCTGCGGAATCCAGGGTGAGGTCCCTGAAACTCACAGCCCATTGGGGCAGACAGACACTCGTGAAATCATTTTACAAATCAATGCAAACTTGCACTTCTGACATGGGTTGTGACGGAGGGTTTTGTGGGGCTGTGAGGCCACAGAGCGATCTGACCAGAATGGACACTGAGGTGCAGTATGGGGATGGGTAGGAGCTAACTGATGGCGAGAGGAAGGGGAGGGAAGGGAGGGTGCACGGGGCAGTGGGACTGGCATGGGCAAAGGCCCTGGGGTGGGAAGGAGGTCAGATGCTGGGAGGGTGAGGAGGAGGATGGCAGTGATAGGGACCAGGTCTGCTCTTCTCTGTCTCCCTGCAGCCCTGGTCACCCTCGCGGGCATCAGCATCTACATTGCATATTCAGCCGCCGCCTTCCGGGAGGCGCTGTGTCTCCTGGAGGAGAAGGACCTCCTGGAGCAGGTGGACATCCGCTTCGGCTGGTCCCTGGCCCTGGGCTGGATCAGTTTCATCACCGAGCTGCTCACCGGGGTAGCCTTCCTGGCAGCGGCCCGTGTGCTCAGCCTGAGACGGAGGCAGGACCAGGCCATATGAGCGTGGATGCCTGGTCGTGGTGGGAGGGAGGCTGGCCCGGGGCTTCATGGACCCACCCGGGCAGGCTGTGGCCTCCTGTTCCACCAAGACCAGCACTGGAGGCAGGGGGCCATGCCGAGAGCCGCTGTGGACTGAGCTCCGGCCTGGCTGTCATCTCAGGACGTGTGCTGCCTGGTGTGCTGTGTGCCATGTCCATGCAGCTGTGCGTCGTGCGGGGTGGAGGAGGCCAAGGGAGCGCAGGACCCTGAAATAACAAAACAAACCCTTAATCATAAACAACGTTAGACTGTAACCTCCGTGTGCCTGCCCTGGCTTCATTTCATCCTCACTGCTGCCCTTTGGAGCAGTTCCTCTTCTTTGTTCAGGAAACCGAAGACCAGAGAGGTTAGGTAAGTTGCACAAAGGTGCACAGCGAGCTAGTGGCACGTTTCTCCTTCCAAAACAGTGCTCAACCCTTTATCACAGCCCTTCTGAGCAGGTTCAGGGCTGGATGTGGTTACTGAGTGTGACTCAGAAAGGTTCAGTTCACTGGCTAAGGGCACCAGAGAGAAAGGGGTACAACTGGGACCGGAGTTCACATTTGTCTGCTTCCAAGACGATTTTCTCTCCACTCCTGCCAATGCCTGCACCACTCGACTTTCTGTGTTTGGGTTAGGATGTGGCTGCTGCTTCCTTTCTCTGTAGTCTGGAAAAGCGTAAACAGAGCGGATTGCTCAGCCCCACGGGGTGAATGAGCACGGCCAGGAAACCAGTTACTAGGCTGGGGGAAAGAAATGAAAGAATTTTTTTCACCAAGTGTGATCAACGGTGCTTAGTGAAAAGGCGGTCTTTCCTGCCACCTGCTGGTCATATTCTGAAACTGCGTCAGAGGCAGGATTTCATGAACCAGTCAAAAACAAACATTTGTTTTCAGCCCTTTGGGTGCCCAGCAAAGAATGGGGTAAACACTGCAAGGCAGTGGTTCTCATCTAGGGCAATTCCCCACCCCTTTCCACCTGAGACATTTGGCAATGTCCACAGACTTTTTTTTTTGGCTGTTACAACTGGGGATGAATACTACTGGCCTCTAGTGGGTGGAGGCCAGGGATGCTGCTCAACATCCTACGTGCCCAGGACAGGCCACCCAGAGAATGATCCAGTCCCAGTGTCAGTCGGGCACATGCTGAGGAATCCTGCTAGGGGAATGAAGATGAATAACAACCAAAATAAAGCATGTGTGCACTCAAGGAACTGACAGATAGTGGGAAAGAATCTCACTCGTTCAATAAATATTTACCAAACACCTACTATGTGTCAAGAACTGTTCGAGGGTCTGGAGGCACATTGGTGTGGATGGATGACAAGCTCCCTGCCCCTACTAACTCACATAGAAACAAATGATCAACACATGAACCAACAATACCTCTGAGAAATTCAGGTAGTAATTAGTGTTATGAAGAACATAAAACAGGCTCATGAGATGGAGGGTGACTGGGAGCAAAACTACCATCAGACAGACAGTCAGGAAGGGCTTCTTGGAGGAGGTGGAATGGTGCTGAGATCTGATTGAGGAAGCTGCTATGTGGGGAAATAGCAGACCATGCAGGTGACAGTAAGTGCAAAGGCCCTGAGGTGGGAACAGGCTTATGTGTTTGAGGGAAAGGAAGAAGAGTTCAGGGAGGAGCATGGTGGGAGGTGAAGTGAGAGAGGTGAGGAGGAAGAGGAGGCCAGGGAGGTAGTGCCCGTGGTCCATGGTAAGGAGGTGCTAATGACGGAGCAAGATTTGGATCTGATCGGATCCTACCCCATCCTATCCTACCCTACCCTACCCTACCCTACCCTATGCTAACCTCCATTCCATTCCATCCCATTCCATCCCATTCCGATCCAGTCCAGTCCAGTCCAGTCCAGTTGTATTTTGAGAGCAATGGGAGCCTCTGATGGTTTTCAGCAGCTACAGGAGGTGCACAGGGGTTAACACAGTGGTTTTCAAGCAGGGTTCACATTAGCATCACCTGCTAAGCAAGACTTAAAAAAATTCTTACAGTTGAGCCTCAATGAGCCCAATAGAATCAAAACCTCAAAACTAGGCCCAGGCACTGGTATTGACCCAAGTTCCCAGGCGACTCTGTTGTCACTCCATTCACTCATTCCTATATTTGCACCTTCAGCAACTACTTGGCGTCTGACGTGCCAGGTGCCGTTCGGGGCACGGGGGTTTAGCAGTGAGTGAAAGGGACACAAGTGCCCTCCCACAGCTGTGCGTGTGTGTGGCAGAGAGACAGACAATAAACAGTGCGGGTAAACCGGGTACCTGACCTGAGAAGCAGCTCCGCAGAGGAGTGGAGAAGAGCACAGAAATGCGGGTGGGAGAGTGGACTGGGCAGTGACTGTGACGTCCCGTGGGGTCTGCTGAGCAGGATTTGAGAGACTGGCACCTCTTTGTCTCACTTTCACACAGATGAATCGTTTCAAAGAGGATTTTCCAGGCCCTGTTGTAGGATCAGGGAGGGGCGTGTCCCTGGAGGCTGGACAGCCGGGGCTCAGTGAGGACCTCAGTGAGGACCTCTGTCTCCCACGCTGACTTTGGTGCCTTTCCCTGGAGACGAAGCTCAGGGCTGAGACGGGATCCCAGGCCTCGGGGAGGAGCCCTGATGCTTGCGGAGCAGGATACCCCGACTTGCAGATGAGGAGCCGGCAGCCCTCAGAAGGAAGGGTCTTGCTCTGGGGGCCACTGCCGGTGAGAGAACCAGGGTGAGGTCCTCGCCCCAGCGCCATCCCCTGTCCCCTCCCTCTGACATTCCAGCTGCTTGCTCCTCCCCCAGAGTCAACACCTGGATTTAATTTATAGTGAACACAGGGAGCAATCGCGGTCTTTGCTTCTCCGTGAGGCTCACTTGTTGTTTCCCCAGCTCGTGACACCCGGCAGCGGGGGTCCTGGTGTTAGGCCTCCACAGACGTCGGGGAAAGACTGCGATCTCTGCTTGTTCCAACAGCAGCCTGCGCTTTTCAAATATTTACAGCTAGGTCTCCGCTGGAGTACATCTGGGCAGGGAGAGAGAGAGAGAGAGGAGAAAGCCGAGACGCAGAGAAACGAAGCTAATGTTAGAAGAGACCCTCAGAGTGGGAGGGTGGGACAGAATGGCATCCTGGGTGGACCTTTCTGGGGCTGCAGATGTGTCCCAGGGAACAGTTCTGGACACTGTTTAGGGTGTAGGGAGAGTGGTCCGGTAGGATGGGTCCCTGCAGAGATGGGGGACAGTCTGAGGACAACGCGACCCCGGTGGGTGAAGGCAGCCCTGAGACAGCAGCAGGTCCCGTTTCTGGGGGCAGACTGGCTGCGGACACTGTGGGCAAGTCTGGCCTCAGCTTCCGTATCTGTAACACCGTGAACCACGATGCATGTCTCGCATTCCTTATGCTTTATCTTCAGACAAGGATGCTCAGACCCCGAATGGCCCCACTCAGAGGAAAAGTCCAAACCTCAGCGTGACCTCTGGGGCCCTCCAGTGCTCTGATGTCCTGATTGTCTCCAGGAGGCACCTTCCATGTGCACAGCACAAATCATTGTCATTGGCTGTGGTCTTTTCTTCTTTTTTTTATTTTTCCATTTTTGTTCAGAGAGAGTAGGAGGAAGAGAGAGGGAGGGAGAGAGAAACATTGAGAGAGACACACTGGTTGCCTCCTGCATGACCCCGAACAGGGTCTGGGACAAACCGCAACCGAGGTACATGCTCTTGACTGGAATTGAACCCGTGACTCGTTGGTCCACGGCGGACCCTCTACCCTCTGTGCCAAACTGGCCAGGGCTGCTCTGGTCTTTTCTAAAGCCGGCTGGGAACGCGGATCAGGATGGGTCACCCAAGCCTTTCTTACCCAGCAGAGCACTTCAGAGTCCCCCAAACAGGCTCAGTGCTACCATCCTGCCGGGAGGGGCACCCACCCTGTTCCCGCAGACGGACAGCTGGCGGAAGCTTAGCGAGGCCAAGGACATGTCCAAGGGTCACTGACCAGAACAGAGACTCAAACCCCTCTTCTGGCTGCCAAGCCACGCCACGCGCTTCCGCCTCCCCATCCGCCATCCTTGGGGTCTGAAGACCCCTCCCGGCACCGATGGCGCACCTGGGCCGAGGCCCGCTGTGCGGGGGGCCGCTGTGCGGGGGGCCGCTGTGCGGGGGGCCGCTGTGCGGGGGGCCGCTGTGCGGGGGGCCGCTGTGCGGGGGGCCGCTGTGCGGGGGGCCGCTGTGCGGGGGGCCGCTGTGCGGGGCATTCCCGGGGGCACGCGCATGCGCCTTGTGATCAGCAACCACATGAAAGCCACGGTTTTGCACCCGCTGCGTGCCGGGACGCTCCCTGCAAGGATGACATGGGGATTCTGTCAGAACACAGGCATTTGTTCCATATTCATTTCTGTTTCCTCAATTAGGAATGCTTAATTTAACGGAATACTGGGAGTCTCGGAGGAGCAGCAAGCATGTGACCACTAGTAAAATATTTATGCCCTGGGAGAGTCCACTCCCATTCCCTCCACCTCTCCACCCCTCCAATCCCCTCTACCGTGTTCATTTGCAGGGCTTCTCCCTCCCACCCCCCGGTTGCTGGGTCCTTGCCTGGAAACAGCAGCCTCAGCGACCCCAGCAGCAGCGACAGCTCGCCTGTCCTCCCTGGAGCCTGCCACCGGTGCTTCCCGGATTTGTCCTGATTCCGCAGAGGAGCCAGCTAGTGTGACTAGCATCAGACCTGAATGGGGTCATATCCACATCCTTTTACCATCGAGGCCCCCGAAAGTGATGTATGTGCTCAGGGCACTGTAGTTGTCAACCTAAAAGGTGTGCACACCAAGAGATACCTTCAAGTCACAATTCCAGAACCTGTAGATGAGACCTTGTGTGGAAAAGGGATACTGGTTACATGACGATGTAATTGGTTACATGAGGATGAGGGCATCCTGGATTAGAGTGGACCCTAAATCCAGTGACTGGGAGGAGTACTAGTCCCCTTACAAGAGCAGGGGATTAGAG